GTGCCGTCGGGGTTTGCGGAACGCGCGGAGAGAACACGACTTACCTGAGTGCCAGGTGAACACCTGGGCGCGCTGGCCACAGGGAGCCAGACTAGGATGCCAGGGTGGAGCCGGCGAGGACCAGGCTGCGGTGGGTGGGGAGGGACCTGGGGGCGAGGTGCGAGGAACTAGAGCGGTGGGCGGGGCTTGACATGTGGGCGTGGTCTAGGGGATTCCCGCAGCAGGTGGGTGAGAGTTTAACTCCAGAGGAAGATTGAAGTCCTGCAAGGAAAGAGGGGGGTGTCTTGAGTGGAACCGGGGGAACCTGGAGCGAAGGGGCGGGGAACTGAAGGGCAGGTATGGCCTACGAGCCGGAAGGGCGGACCCAACCTGGTCCAGGAGTCTTGGAAGGGTTGTGGGCGTGGCTTAGGTGTGTGGGCGGAGAGAAGGCGGAGCCCAGGGAAGGCGGGGTCTAACTGGGTGGAGAAGGAGGAGCAAGAAAGCTGGGCCAATGAGCTGGGGGCCGGCCTGGACCCGGGCCAACGAGACAAGGGGGCGGTGCCAGAAGCCAATATGGCGGGCCAAGCGAGCCCAGAAGTGGGGGGAGGGGTCAGCCTGCGCCACCGCAGAGATTAGGAGGGCGGCTGGGGCTATTGCTGCGGTCTGAGGAGGCCTCAGGGGTCCCCGGCCGCCATCTCCCGGGAGCCCCCCGCCCGAGAGCGCGCGACCCACCCTTCGGCCTGGCTCCAAGCGATCTAACAGCACCGTCACCTAGCTCTGGTTTCAACGGTGGGTCCTGCAGCCGCAACCCCGCGCTAGCCTCCAGTTGGCCCAGTGGGCCCTTCGGCCCGCCCCTGCACGGCGGTGATTGGACTCTGGCGGTCATTTTGACGTGCAGGCGACAGGTCCCGCCCGAGAGCCCAGCCGCAGGTGCTGCCGCCCAGGCTCCGCAGCAAGCGGTGGAGGGGATACAGTACTCTCGTCTCCTTGGAAGACCCGGCCCGTTGCGTCACTGGGACTGTGGCCGGAAGAAGAAGTGGGCCTAGGCCGGCACGAGGCTTCTTCCTCCTCGTTTTGCAACCTTCCCCCAAGATGCTGGGTATTTCACGGTCCCTTATTTAACCCTTATAACAGCCCTATTACGTGTAAGTGCTGTGAGCACACCCCTGCGTCACAGGCCACGAACCTGCAATTTGGGGATTATGTCATTTGCCCAAAGTCATACAACTGGCTAAGCAGCAATCCAGGATTTTGAGAAAAGCAGCAGCCTTGAGCTCCACCTCCTCGCCTTTGGCAGCCACTGGAACGCTTTTGGCTTTCTGTTGGTATCGTGGGCACCTCAGTCTGCTTATGTGCCTACTTCTTATAATAAATTTCAGAGGGGAAGGGAGAGGGAGAGAAACACCAATGATGAGAATCATTGATCGGCTGCCTCCTGCACGCCCCACTGGAATGTGCCCTGACTGGGAATGGGACTGTGACCTCCTGGTTCCTAGGACGACACCCACTGAGCCACGCTGGCTGGGCTGGGCCTCCTTTGTCATTATCAATTTGGGACATTATCCACTGACTCATGTCACCACCACTGGACGTGCTTTTTCCACCTGTAGTTTTTCTACTGGTTCCTCTAATCTGAAACACTCCACTCATCCCTTTTTGTCATCTCTCACCCTCCCTTCCACCTTCCACTGTTAATTTACCTTTGTATTGTCACTGCTAAACATTATACTGTCCTGGGACCATAATTAAGTCCCTGGGTTGCTACTTAAAGGGAATAGTGGTTTATATGGTTCGGCCTCAGTAAACAATGCACTCAGTCAAGTAGCTGTCTATATTGTACACTGCCTGTATTGTACAAATGTTTGTTTTCCCTGCACTTAAACCTTTCTTTTCTTGCATAATTAGACCGTCATAGCTTTAGTTTCTTTTACATTTTCTATAAAATCAATTCTCTTGACCACTTGACAACCCTAATATCCTTCCTGAGCTCTCTAAACTTGCTGCATGACTGGTGGGTTTTTGGGGACATTACTTCTTCCTCTGCTACTAGTACACAACACTGACTCTCACTCCACCACCCCTAGCCCTCAGCTCTACCCTCAAACAAAAAGACAGCAGTAGTCACAGGATAGTAATTTTATATTCAGTACAAATGTTTATTTTTGCAATGAGAACTGCACAAAAAAAAAAACCTTTAGTATATAAGTGAAAAGTCTACGAATTCCCTTCTACAAATGTCTAAAGTGTTTAATACAAGTCTCAGATTCACTGACATAATTATTGGCCAAGCGATCCGTGCATACAGTACAGTGGGGGCTTGTACACACCTCTCACTCTTTTATAGGACTAAGATTTCTAGTACTGTGGGAGGGACTGGGACAATGGCCAGAGAAATTAAATAGACCCAAATTCTAATTATAACCCAGTTAGAGAAACACCTATGAGGGAAGTGTGGAGAGGGCTATGGCAGAATTCACTCTTTAGAAGGAAGGGGGAGACAATCATTTCTCCAGCTAAATAGTCAGACTTGGCCTGGGGAAGTGTCAGAACAGAAATGAGGGAGGGTGTGGGATGAGATAGAAGCAACCCCAAAGAACCAAAATGTAAGTCATACTTGAACCAGCACAGTGTTTATGGGGAAGAGCCTGGAGGGTGGGCAGGGGCGCAGGACGGGTGGGGATGGGGGACGGCTCTGGCTGGATGCCAGAACTGCACTTCTCTGGGAGGTTTGGGAGATCCCAAACACAATACACCATTAAAGGGGGATGTGGATGTGGATTAATAAACAGTGCTAGCAATGTTTCAATCAGTGTGTCTCTGCATACATATAAGTGATATTTCATCTTTCATCCTAGGGGCTGCTCCTGGGTACCCAGCTTGCCTTGTGGCTACTGATGGGCACACAGACAAGGGTGGCCATCTGCTGGACTTTCTCTGGCTGGAATGTGTGGGTGTGCATCTGTGTGCATGTGAGAGAGGATCCTAGTTGGGAGGATGTACACGTATCTAAGAATATCTGGTTAACCCTGAGCTTAAATGAAAAGTTAAGTAGAAGGAGACAAAGTGGGAGAAGTGACCCAAGTCCCCTGGTGAGTAGGGGACGAGGATGTAGGAGAATACTGTCTGGAATCTGGCCAGGTTCCCTGGAGCACGCCACCACCTGTCTAGGAGGGAAGAATGGGTACCTGGACTCCCTGTCACAGCTTCCGCTTGGGATGGCAGGGAAAGACCATGGGAAATGGGCTGGATGGCCCCTGGGGGGAGTTATATAGACATGATTTGGGGTCTGGAGACTCCTGGGCCTAGCCTAGGTCACAGGTGGTTCACAAAGAAATGTCAGGGAGACACCAGCATTAAAAAAGAGAGATGTGTTTATTCCATGATCAGTACAGACCAAATGCATATTCACTGTATGAAAGTCAAACCAGTCACTGACTCCAGAGTATGGCCAACACTGAGGCACCAGTGTTGTGGTGTAGAGTGGGTTATCATGGCACGTGTAACCTCACCAAGGGCTCCAATTATAAAACTTAAAAAAAAAAGTGAGGGAAGTGCCCGCAGGTGGGCACTGAGCGGGTGCCAGGCCAGGAGCCTCTGCCTCAGTCTGTGGCCCTGGCACCCGCTTGTCCCCTGGCCTGACCCTTCCTTTTCTGGTAAAAAACAACTCAAACAGATTTGACATTAAAAACAAAGAAGCCAATGAATGGGGTTGGGAAAAGAAAACACAGCTTTCTGGTTTTGTAATTAAAAATAGACTAATAAAGTTTGAAACTGAGTACAATGTAGGCAGTTTTTTTGTGTGTTTTGTGTTTCGTTTTGTGGGTTTTTGAGGTTTTTTACACCAGTTTGGTGGAGTCACCAACAAACTTCAAACAAGGATATGCCAACTATGTTTCACTATACAGCCACAGTCACACACTACCCACAGCGCAGTGGCAGCTGCTGCCCAATGAGGAGAGGATTACACCATTTCAGAGATAAGCAGTGCCATTGTGTTTGGAGGAGGAGAATTAAAAATAAAATAGAATCCAACAAAAAATATATATATAGAAAAAAAAAACCCCAGAAACACAGGTGGGAAGGAACTGACTTTGGTTGGTGGCCTCACTCACCAGGCGAGGCTGGCCCACACGCGCGTGACAGTCACCTCGCTCTGGATTGCCATGGACACACACACCTCCACGGCACTATTCCCTTTTGCACAAGCAAACACTTACAGAGAGCGGCTCTTGATTAAAGGCTTGTGGGGGGAGGGCAGGGGTGGGATCTGTTCAAGGCAAAGTCAGTGCCAGCAAGGGGGTGGACCGGTGCCCTCTTTTGCCTCCAGCTCACTTGGGCCTGTCCTGCTGTCCTGGGGGCAGGCATCTGAGGCTGGGGTGTGGGGAAGGACTCCCGGCAGGCAGGACGTCATGAACGTCATGATCTCAGGGACAGAAAACCAGTCACGGTGGCGGCAGCAACGATGTCCTCTGTATACTGTGTAGACATTTGGCGGAGAGTAGGGCCTCTGCCCACACGCGGGGACGCGGACTTGGGTCTGGCCGACACTTGCTCATAGTGAGACGTGTTCTGAGCTGATGTCCTGTGAGGGTGACAGAACGTCCGGCTGGCTGTAAGGCAGACGGGCTCTACAGTCCTTAGCTGCCCGTCAGGCCTGCCCTGGCATAGCATGCACAAGGGCCAGGTCCAGAGACAGGTTGTGGATGCTGCTCCCGCCTCCGCTGCCACGCCTAACACTATGGAGAGTCATCTTTTTGCCAGAAAATCAAAGTCAGAAGTCACCTAGGTGCTCTCAGAAAAGATTTTCTTCAAATATTGACAATAGGTCACTCTGGAAATTCATGTCAATGGTAGCTGCCATCTGCAGGAAAGAGGAGGGAAGAGTCAGAGAGTGAGAGGACCCCCACCCCTCCAGCATCGGCAGTTTCCTTAGGGCCCATTCCCTGGAACCTCATGGCTCAGAGGCCAGCTGGTGTGGACAAGCAGGTTCCCTGCCCCAAGCACACATTCAAGGGTCTCCCTGCCTGCCCCCCTTCTCAGAGTGATGCTCCTGCCCCTCTCTGGGTTCAGGTCCCCTTTCCAAACTCCTCCAGGGTTGTACTCCTGCCCTGGGGTTCCCCAGCAGGGTCCCTGACTTACCGCTTCCCGGCGCCTTCGCTCCTGCTCCCGCTTTCGGGCCAGCTCCCGCTGCTGGTCCAGCATAGACTGGGGCTGGGAGCTCTGGGCCTGGGGGGCGGCGGCAGCTGCAGCCACTGCAGCCGCTTGTTGCTGCTGCTGCTGCTGCTGTTGCTCCTGCCTCTGCTGCTGCTGC